CCAGGTGGTAATAGATGACGACCCGAGCAGAGCTCCAGTGATAACGTGCGACAGGACTTTGCGATCGAGAAGCACCGTTTACCACTTATGAGGAAGAGCTTTATTCGAGACGAGCTCGAGCTGGCCCACACTGATGATGATATCTACAGATGAGGAAATATACAAATGATGATGACACGTCAAATTGATAAAGAAGAGTCGGTGACTACGCTCACAATATCAAAAGTCACAATGCAACTGCAATGTCACCCATGGTTGCGAGAAAATCTGCCTGAAAAAATAACGCGTGCGAAATCGCGTTGCCAACGTGCAGCAGAGTTTACACCGCAAGCATGCATGAATGCGCGCAGTAAGGTAAAAATGTTTACTAAAAGTTATAACTGTGGCAGGGCTGCTTCTTGACATATGGAGCTCAACATAAAAATCATTCGTATAGGCATGCAGTCATTTTCATTTCACGTTGTAAGCGGAGCCATCCTTGACTTGTGAAACGCACTTCGCCCCGACGAGGACTACGCCATCTGTGCTTAACAGGGATTAACAATTAAGGAGGTCTTCTCTGATCGGGCGGGTCGTCGCAGTGATGCGCTTTCGAAGACTAGTCCATTTACTGAGGCCGTTGCTTGAAACGACCACGGTACCAGTCGTTTACTTTATGTTCTACTGCTATTACTCTACTTTTGCTTATACTCTCTTCACAAGCATATACGCATGGGGATCGGGGGAGGAGGGGGGGACTCTCATGACTTTGATATAGATGTACACAATATTCTCAAAATACCATCGATAATTACGTCACAGAGAAAAGCTGATGCCTGTACCCCCTCCCACCCCTAGTCAAGTCGGTGTAAACCCCCCCCCCCCCCCCCTGAAAAAATGTCTCGCTACGCCTCTAGTGGCCTTGGCTATAGACAACGAAATGCAACGTCTGCGCAAGTCCATTGTGGCAGAGATCGCTGTGATGTCGAGGAGCGCGGACGTTAAAACGTCCACTCCCGCTTCTATAAATGTTTTCGGTCGTTTTTTTCCTCCAAGATCACTTGACTTTGTGCTTATTCGAACAAGCAAGCTCTGCGATTTTAGTGGAGACGCCATTTTTGTCGGTGAGTGAACTCTTAGACATCCTTCTGAACTTTATTGCGATGCGGCCAGCGTCTTCGCTAACCCTAACCACGCCTAGGGTTAGCGAGAAGTAAGGTAGTTAGACGTAGCCAAGGGCTCGGCCAGACGCGGCAGCTGCTGGATCATCCTCCGTAGGTCGCAGCTGACACCAGGCACTGAAAATGCCTTCCACCATAATCGTGGAGGGAACGGAAGTAAGCGCGGAGATCTTCGATGGACCAGGATGGGCCACCGCCATGGGACGCCGAAGACAGACGACTCCGCCGCACGAAGAGCTGGCCACTGGGACGGTCGAGCACAACATTCAAACAAAGCACCGGGGGGCTTCAAGAAGAGCCAATCGGCACAACACCGTGTGGTATCCGCTTCCAGGCTACCCCGCCTACCCAAGGACCATATCAGAAAATCATGAGACCAAGAGGAGGATTGGACGTAGCTAGAGTCGATCTCGTTTTGCTGGCGAGAGCCGTCATCATGGCCGCCCAGATCACCGACGAACAAGCACAGGAGGACAGGATCTGCCCCAACAATATGCAAAACATTATTGTTATTTCTACGCCGCAACAAAAGTAATGCTACATCATACGTGATCATGCAGAAACTGCAGACAAACCAAGGCTCGTTCGAAGTTGCTGCATACGTGGCCCGTCATCAAGAACGTTTACCTCTCCCTTGATGACACAATTAACGCTCAAACGCCTGATGGTGCACGACCGCAGTCCCACTGCCATCGAGGCAAGGCGCATCAAAAAGACCAAATTCGTTGCTATTCTCTTTGACGGGTTGTGCGTTCCGAGCACAGTGATGTGCGGAACCGCCATGGTTCCCTGCTCCCTCTACAAGCGAGAAGTCAATGTTTGCAGAACGTGTGCTGGAGTCGGCCATCGCGCCGATGTTTGCCGGCACATAAACGCAACGAGCAAGAAATGTCCCAACTGCGATGAAACAATACAAGAAGACGGCGTACATCACTGCGAGCTTAAATGCAAGCTTTGCAATGGCAATCACCCCACCAGAGATTGCGAATGCAAAACACGCTTCCACATTCCATACATAGCGAGAAGAAGACGCAGAAAGCAAAAGTGGCAAGCACAACAACGTCAAGACGCACCAACATCTGTCACGTTCAAGGAACCCTGCCACAACCAGGTGCCGGGACGGGAGAACGCCTCAAACATCCATCACCGTTCTCCATCCAGAGGGAGATCCCGATCCAGAGGGCGTTCCCGATCCAGAGGGCATTCTCGTTCCGGAGGGCGCCCCTCGACCCTGTCGGTATCCGACAACCGCCTGTCATCTCAGGAGTGCTCCAGATCCCGATCGAGAACGAGACCAACAGCCAAGCAGCTACAGCAACAGCCGAACAATGGCTCCTGGGCCAGCAGGGTTGAAGGTGCATCACGAAGCACGAGTAGCCAGCCCAAAGGTAAGGCACAGCCCGAGCATGCTCCCGATTTTCGCATTCTAGCGCTTGAACAAGCAAACAGGGCCCTTAAGAAGGGGCTTGAAGTGCTCCAAGCCTCAATAGCTATAATAGAGAGCAGCCACGGAATGAACCTGTCGAGCTCACCAGCACCACCGACAACACGCTTACAACAAGCAATCCACAACACACACCAAAGCAAAGCCGTAGACAGCGACACGACGGAGGAGATCAAAATGGTTTCGAGCGATAAAGAGGCCCCACTGACAATCGCAGAGTCCGCGATAACTAAACTCAACGACAAAATTGATACGTTGGCGAACACGCTTGCCAAGTTTATGGAAACCTTTAAGACTTACACTGACAAAGCAAACCACAGGTTCATGAGTCTGGAGAAGATAGTAGCCAACCCACCTGTGGCGGCTGCTCCTCAGAGCCCAAGCGTGGACAAACCAAAGGTTACGGCAAGCGTGCCAAGCATAACTTCTAGAGCTAAAGTCCGACCAGTCAAAGCACGCAATCTCGCGCAGGTAAATAGCCGCGACGCACACAAGCTACCAAGCCAAAACGGCTGCTGATCGTAACGAGATTAAGATCTGACAGTGGAACTGTACCTCACTTCAGAAACGCAAAGCACCACTAACACACCTATTGCTAGCTTGTAAAAAAAGCCTCATATAATATTGCTGCACGAATGTGGAGAAAGCAAAACTGCTAAAATCATTGGCATACAGGGGTACAGGGTAGCAGGGCCGACCCTGCATCCCGAACAGAACAAGACGCGAGGAGTGGCTACCTTCATCCGGAAGGACATAATGTTCGCCGAAAGGGTTGCCCACGTGTACAAAAAAGGCCTGTAAACGGTCCTGGTGGAAATCTTATCACACAGGGCTGTTAAAAGAAGCATCTTTATGCCCAATGTTCACAGTCCTCCATCAGATAAGAAGAGAGATTTCAACAGACTGCTTACCTCCGTTGTGAAAATGACGAGTGACAATCCGCTCATAGTAGCGAGCGATTTTTACGCCAGGAGCACCGAGTGGGAATACTTAAAAAGCGAAGGCAAAGGCACCAAGTTAGCAGAAAGCGCGAATGCGCTGGACCTGCAGCTTATAAACAACTTTGCCCTCCCTTCAAGAAGAGGTAATTCGGTACAGCGGGACACACTGCCCGACTTGACCTTCACCAAGAACGTCAGAGCTACCTGGGATAATCTCGCCGAGGACCCAGGTAGCGACCACTGCATCCTGGAAATTACCGTTGAGAACGAGGTGAAAGCGCCAAGAAAATTCAAAATCAGACTGGGACTAGTTCCGTAAAATGAGGAAGCAGAAGAGCAGTACAGAACTATCATATGAAGCCCTCTTAAATGAATTAAAAATGGCAGTAAATGAGGTCCATCAAAGAAGTCCAAACTGATGAATCCCATCCAGGCCATGGACTCTCACCTGGCCAGTTTGCTGCAGAAAAAGCATGACCGAAAAGAAGCGTGGGGTAAAAACAAGCTCAACAGAAGAAGCGTGGCGTAAAAACAGGCTCAACAGACACTTAAGCACAAAAATCGCAGACCTTGGCCGTGAAATCGAATCTCACGCCGAAACGCTCTGCCCCCAGCAATGGAACAACACATGTGACGAAGCAGATGGCAAAATGCGGAGTGGAAGCAAATGGGGGCTGCTCAAACACCTTATGGCGGACAGCGACATACTCGCCAGAGGCGGCATCCCCTTTTTGACATTTTATTGGTCTCGCCTTGGCTCATACACAATCAACAACCATTTGCATACCGAAAACAATAGAAGTTGGCTACTATTTTGGAATTTCACCAGCATAGGCATAATGGTGTTACATATCGTAGGGCTCCCATTGCGGGACAATTCTTTTCCTATGCTTTTCACCGTCATTAGACATCTGCAAGTTGCTTCGACAAATACGAAAACTGCTAATGATGGTGAAAAGCACAGAAAAAAGAATAGTCGTTGCACGATTGCAGCCTACTATACTACTTAAATACCTTATCAAATGCGAAATCCATAGCAGGAATTATTTTTGAGGGAGGCACTTTCTGAAGGCTTTTACTATTCGAGAAAAATACATACCTTAGTTATTTACCGTATTTGCAGTAAAACTAACCCCTTCATCAATACTGCAAAAGAAGGGGTCGAGTTCCAGGCTTCCTCTTCCCCTGGCTACAGGCCTGTCACACTGCTAAGGCAACCTGTATCCCAGTGGTGCAGTCGAGGGGGACAATCAAACCCTTCGAAATTATTTCAATTTGTACCTTGCGTTCATATGCACACACGCAAATGCACGTACAACCCCTCCTTCAAACAAATGTCTGACTACGCCACTGCCGTTTTATCAAAGCATGAAGTGAGAATGTCGATGGAAAACAATCCTGCTCTTTCTTGGCTACAGCAGATCGCTTGTAAGAAACTCGACCAAAACAGCAAAATTCGCAGTAACAAATTTTATTTGTCATTAACTGCACATTAAAGTTTCAGTACATAAGGCTATTTATACAGAAGGTACAGGCAGCATGATTGTCAATGCATCAATATTCTTCACCACAAAAAGTCATGAGAGAACTTCACAAATAAAAAAAAAGAAAAGATTAGTGCCCCTCGTACAAATGTTCACTAACTTGCGCGACTATCACAGCGTTGAGTTCGACAAACTTTTGGCTTCCTACAGAAAAATGGCAAACTCTAAACACCAGGCTCAATGCGAAATGTTCTGACAAAGGCAGTGACTTGCCAGCACGGACATTACAAGAGAAACTGCCAGGCGGTACAGTATCCAAACTAGTAACATTACCTGAATTTAAATTATTATTTTGAGAGCGATTTCAGCATACAACATTATTGTTCTTATTACACACGAAAGTAAATCCTTTAAGTGAGCTTATCTCAGCAGCAGTGAATGAAAATTAATTATTTTCATAAACCACTAAGCAGTAATATTTGAATGGCCTTTAGCTACAATGATCTTTACCAAGACCACAAAAGCCACTTTGAATATGCAAAGCAGCGTGTCAATACAGATGTGTAAAACATCATTGGCACAAGTATACAATGAAACTGTATATGAAAATAGACTAAATGCACAAAATAAATAAATAGGAGGCCTCTGCCATGACATTGGGAACTGCTCAATATCGAGGTTCTTGAATATACGAGGCCGTCCAAAAAAAAAAAAAAAAGTTGCTGAGGTTCTTGCAAAATTAATGACTATAGTGAGCCACCTCCGAAGCCAAGCCAGGGAGGAGCCAACGTGACCAACATTGGGTGATCATGATAACGATGATGGGAGTAGTGATGGGCCTTTGGCTTCTGGGATGAAGCGGTGAAGATTGGCTGTAGGTGCGACTCAGAGCCTGCTGATGGCTCGTGACACCTTGGAGTTGTTCGGCCTGTTGAGAGCCTTGCAGATGAAGTCACCTACACCAATCACCTTCTGGAGGTCAACGCCCTGCAAACACAAAGAACGAGATGAGGAGCAATACTCCGCATTAAACAGGTCGGCAAACAGTATGCTCATGACAGAAGCCAAGCAGAGCTACCTGGCAAAGCTGACTGCTATAATGCCAAATGTGCACACAGTGAACCAAAAATGGACACGGCTCAGGATTCTGGCAAGGGAACAATGGTTTGTGCATTCACTTAGACCATGAACACTGCTTAGAACATGTATGAATGAGCAGAGAAAGTGTGCAACGTGCACTTCGTGACCTTGAGCACTTTATCTTTTTTTTTTTCAAATATGTGGTTTCTTTGAGTGCCATCATGCACGCACGCATAGACAAGTCACGCACGGCCTCTGGCAGCGTTCTCTGTAACGACCGCAGGCGCGACAATAAAATTAGCCAATGACTGATACAATAGCTGTGACGAGTGATTTTTGAGCTTGTAGCATCATTGAGAGAAGAGAAATAAATTTTCAGCTGACTGGTAATTTATGGTGAATTCGAAGCACCTGCTGTGCTATATTATTGGGCTGACGTGTTCTCGGGAGCCTCTACTACCGATTGGCAGCGTTTTCTGACCATGCTCAAACAGTGTTGCAGGGTCCCTTATATGGTTGTCTTTCACAAATGCAGATTTTTCACGTGTATTATGGGTGCAAAATACTAATTTTAACATTTTCCGTAGCATTTGCTATTTTTAAAGAGCAGTATCGCGTTGCTTTATTACAAACTTTATTACTTAATGAGCGAAATTCTAAGGCTTCTAGTGTTCGTGTAGATTGGTCGCTTCTTTGTGCTGTGAATGCTCTACAGCAGTGGTTCTGAGCCAGGGATGTGTCGAAGACGCCTTGTGGACTGGTGGAAGTAATGGGGGACCCCTTGCAGTGGAGGGAAGGGGTACATAGGGAAATTAAAACAAGTGCAGCGTGAAAAAGCTGCCTTTTAGTGCTACCAAAAACGTTAAACAAACGTGCCACATCACTTCATTTTGGACAGTTCATCAATACAAGGCCCAGTCACGCTTAAAGAAAAATGCCGGTGAGGGTGTCCCCATTTCAGAACCACTGCTCTACAGCATGCTTTTAAATTCCCGCACATTTTAAAACTAAGTAATTATTTTCATTTATTTTATCCTCAGAGCACATAGAACATTTCAGAGAGGGAAAATCAATGCACAACCATAAAAAAAAGCACACAAAGTACATGTCATACATATATGTATATATGTATACAAACTGACTGAGCCAGGAAGATTAATACTGCTAATTCACAAAATATCTTAAACAAATCATATGAATCATAATTTTATTTTTATTTCATAGCAAAGGCAATAAACAAAGTAGGGTAATTGTTGAATAAAACATAAAAGGGGATAATCAGGCAATGACTGTTTTAAAAATATTCTTAAATTTAAAGAAAGTCGCGATGCTTGTCAACGATACAGGCAGAGAATTCCAATTATTAAATGTTCTTGGGAGACATGATCTGCCACGTATGTTGCTGTGCTGCATTGGGGGACTATGACCTTTTGTTGGTGAATGACACCTGGCTTTTTTGCTATGAACGACGTCTCCCTAGTGTCATAACCAATATAGATAGGGTAGTCGAGGTGGAGGAGGAGTTCTACAGAGAGCTGTGCAGGAGCGAAAAACAGCCAGGACAATATATTGAAATACAATAATAGTCCAGAGTAGTTCGACATCCTACCAGTAACGAGAGTGGAAGTAAGGAAAGCCCTAGAACGAAAGCACAGAGGCAAAGCCGCTGGTAAGGATAAGATGACGAACCTCCTGAAAGATGGCGGAGAAATTGTGTTGGATGAACTGGCCACCTTATATACGAAGTACCTCTTGACGGGAAGGGTATCAGAATCTTGGAAGAAAGCCAACATCGTCTGAATCCATTAGAGAGGAGACATCAGGGACTTGAAAAATTACAAGCCAATCAGCTTACTGCCCATTGTCTACAAGCTATTCACAAAAACAACTGTTAACAGACTTAAGTGAGTTTAGAGTTCAATCATGCAAAGGACCAAGCAGGATTTCATACAGGTTACTCCACAAAAGACCATATTCATACTATCAATCAAGTGATACATAAATGCGCAGAGTGCAACTATCCCCTTTACATAGCCTTCATAGATTACAAGAAGGTGCTTGCCTCAGCCGAGACATCAGCAGTGATGCAGGCATTATGAAATCAAGGCATCGACGAACCCTACATAAACATACTGGAAGAAATCTACAGTGGATCCAAGGCCACCATAGTTCTCCATGAGGAAAGCAACAGAATTCCAATAAAGAATGCCTCAATAAGCTCTTGCTCATACGAGGCTGCTTCCGTTGTTGAGCTTCCATGGCAGGCTCCCCTTCGCTGTCCATATGGAACCAACAGCTCGCAAAGCAGTGTTCTACAGTTGACGCGCTCACAGCAGTCTACGCTGACGCCACGTAATGCATGGCGTCAAGTTCCGAAATTATTGTAGCCTGCTATCCACCACCAATATGCGCAAGACAGTGCTTCACAATGCTTCTTCTGTACGAATGCCTCCAGCATTTTGTGACCCAGCATCCCACGACTGCAAATGATTCGTCATATTTGGTGCAAAAAAAAAGTTTGATGTTTTTTAAAAATGGCAGATTTCTCGGGTGGGCAGCATAATTGTCCAGGAAAAGAGAACCCTCCTGCACTGTGAACCCATTTTATTATCAAAGAAACTCTTCAAACAAAGGGCACGTCATCCACAAACGACTGTTGCTTCTGTAGTGGCATGGCCGCAGGCAAATGTTTTTCAAGCACTGTGGGTTTTAAACTTGCCGATCACTCACGGCTCGAAACTCTTCAAACAAAGCGCACGTCACCCACAAACGACTGTTACTTCTGTAGTGGCATGGCCGCAGGCAAATGTTTTTCAAGCACTGTGGGTTTTAAACTTGCCGATCAATCACGGCTCTAGTTTGTTCGAGTCATCTATATTGCGGCAAAAAAGAACTGTCAGCCGGTCTTTGCTGCATTCGCTTCCATAGCACGCTTCGCCTTTCAGGTTTAACAATTTCTTCACACGAAAGAAGAGGCCGGTTTGACCGCGTTATAAATGTCACGAGGCTCGTACCCCTCCATTAAAGCAGATAATATGAACTTGGCTGTTTTCTCATTCACACTTGCCGCTTCTCCGCTTACTGTTCTGTAAATGATGCCGTGCTTCTTGCGGAAACGATCGATCCAGCCTTTTGACTCCGCTAAATCAGCGATGCCCAGTATGTCGGCTATTTCCATTGCCTTCTCGCACAAAATGCTGGCGTCGAAGTTGATACCAGCAGCGCGAGCTTGCTTGAACCAGGTGAGAAGAGCCTCGTCGAAGTTCCCGTGCTAGCCGCCATCAGCTTGCTTGGCTTTTGGGTCGAAGAGAGCGCTATTCCTTCAATCTTGGCACGCTTTCAGACTATGCTGATGAGTGTTGACGGTGGCAGTCCAAGGTCTTTGGCAATGTAGACTGTTTTTCGCGCTGGCTGCTTGTCAACTACTTTAAGTACGTCCGGCTTTTGGTCAAGAAAAAGCGCTTTCCACTTAAGGGGAGACACTGTACTTGAGATGAAATGTCCGATATTTTCATGCATTTATAAAGAAAACTCACAGTGTGACTGAGTTTTTGATGCTGATTTCTGAAATACAATTACTGTTCTTCTAAGCCACTTAGTTTTGACATATCCCAAAATAATTACCTATTGTTTGCCGGTATAACAAGACAGGAAATTTGTATTGCAGAGCTACAACTATTGGCACATGCCTGTATACTTATAAGCTACACCATAATGATAGGAGTGCTTTCTTTATTTGATAATTTTACCAAGAGTGTCGCACCTTGCACATCAGTGTTGCAGACACGCCCACTGTATTAATTTCTGGCAAAAAATCAAATTTTTGAAGATTTTAATCAAAAATTCACACCTACCATTGTGTAAACTAAAGATACAGCTACATGTCACAACAAAAATGACAGTCCTAGCTGCTCTGGAGGCAGAGATATTTATTAGACAAGTTTGCAACTGCACCAAAATTTGAATCCTGAGAAATCATGCAAAAACAAAACAAGTCCATTTTGGGCAAACAGTAGCATGGAAAAGTTGTTTATTTACAATTATTTGTAAATTCAACTTTCTCAGTAGGCACCAGGCATGTAGTCTGTTTTGCATCACCTAAATGGCGTTTTTTTAATGCCCGCTGCATGTTTTTTGCAGAGGCACACTTGCCAGCTGATGCCGTCGCCTTGGACTCGTCTGCCAACTAGGCCGCTTACCAGTTCGGTGACGCCTATTTGCGACAAATGTGCACGCGTAATCCGCGATCCATCCCATAATAAAGCAATTTTCTGGCTTGTCTAGATTGAGTTGTTGATGTCGCGGACTGAACTCGTGCACTCGCTCATCAATTTCAAGGCTCCAAGAGCAGTGAGATGTTAGTTTCCCTTCCACGTGAGATTGCCACATTTTCGTGTTGAGGCCGTGGCGCAATATGTTCATCGTTGCGGACGCATTGTTACAAGCACTTTACCTGTTGCCAGTAGCTCTCATTAGGCGGGTGGCGAACACGTTCACCGCAAACGGCTTGATTTTGTGCTGTTTGCAGACGCGCGGCGAACTCCACTCTGGCGACCCGACACGCAGTTATTGTCAGACGGGGGGAACCTGCAGCATCGGCGCGTTTAGCGATAAGATAGCGCTTCCGTTCTATCGTTCCAAAGATTGCTATCTCTCGTAGCTTCACTTCTACTTCTTTACTTGCCGTCCTGTAATTGTTGAAGCTCCAAAACACGGCCGCTTTCAGCGACGTTGTCGACAACCGACGGGCTCGTACAAAAGTTAGGCCTACATCGGTGACTCGGCGACCGCCGTTGAACGCCGCGAGCTTGCTATCCTCTCTGTCCTGAGTGATAGCGGGGCGTTTTCTGAAGTTCACAGCGAACAAACAATCGCCACAACCACTTCACAAGTTAGCGCGCTGAGGAACTTCTTTACTGCGGCAGGCAGTCGACAGCACCATAACAAAATGGCACATGTCCGTGCGCGTCACGATGAAAAAACAGACGACGGAAACGCCACTTGGCCAAGGAAATGGCACTTGGTGCCCAGGTTTTGTCACGTGTCTCAAGCAGCCAATAGAATCATGCAGTGGTGCTTCTTCATGACGCGTTTTTTTTAAAAACCAATGAGCAAGACGAGCCACGGGTGGCGGGAAATTGAAGATGAAGAACGACCCTTCCAAACGAGACCAAGATGACTACGATAGCTCGTGTGTAACGGCAACGGTTCGGCGTGGAAAAAGCGCAACTTTAGCATCTATTTGTGCTCAGACTCATCTCACAGGGGTGTTATAAATTGATTTTGTGCCAGAAATAATGACGCGAGAAGCTTGAAATTTTTCAGGTAAGTGCGAAAATAGTTGCAGATTCTGAAAATATTAACTTCAAAAAGTCGGGTATTTTCGCGATTTTCGGCCTTTTAAGACCCGTGTCCCCCCTAAAGCGACACCATAAAGGCTTGACAAAGATGGCGCTGACATGTGCAACGGTAGCAAGCTTAGTGCACACAACAGTGACTGAAGACGAGTCACAACGTGCAACGGTGGGACTGTCACGCGCTTCCGGCCGTCCTAGCCAGGCCAAGACTGAAACGTCAAATCAAAATGACGGTGTCCGGGGCAGAGGGGACAGTGGGGGGGGGGGGGTCGGCAGACTAAGTTGCGACGCATCATGCAGGAACATTCTCACAGTTGCAACAGTAACAGCTGGGTTCGCATTACATGGGATTCTAGGAGAGCTATGCCAGGACCGATGAAAGACAACGTAACAGCCAAGAAAACGCAGCAGTGAGGAACGTAACAGAGGGCTCCACTGTATCCTGGTAACCTGCGATTCGCTGATGGTGTTGCTTTGATAAGTAACTGAGGGGACGAATTACAGCTCATAATTACAGAACTGGACACGGAAAGCGGAAAAGTAGGTCTGACAATTATTATGCCCAAAACTAAAGTGATGTGCAACATTCTCCACAGAAAACAGCACTTAGTGATAGGTAGAAAGATGCTGGAACATGCTGGATAGGTAGTAACCACTGAGCCGAACCAGAAGACTGAGTCAAACCTGCAGTCAAACCCCATTAATACGTAGTTGGCCGGGAACGACATTTTGGCACGCACTAAGCGATGTACGAATTAACCGTCAGTGCCATTTTAGAGGCTACTTACTGGTCAGAAAAGAACACCACAATCCTTGCACACACACACACATGCACACACGCAGGCACGCAAGCTTTATTTAGGGACTGTCAGCAAAAACCTCTGTGATCTTCACTTGTCGCCGTGGTGGCCTTGCCGCGACAACGGCACCTTCGAAGTCGGTGAGGCCGCGACCCAGCGTTCATTAGACCACGCTTCTCGGCGAAGGCTCGCATCACAGTTACAGCATGCGCAGCTTCAGATACCGAGGGGCTATTGTCCGCTTCGACATCGCTCTCCTCCTCAATTCCGCTTTAATTGGAACGAGGCGGCAACAACGTCGCTGTCGGAAAAGTCCGGAGATGTACCAACCTCTCCGTTCACATCTCAAATGGTGCCAAAGTTCTACCTTTCTACTCCCTCTTTTTGCCACTCGAGCACCTGAACAAGGAAGCTCTCGCAGTCTTCGGTGTCCACACCATCCTCGATGTAGTCGTTCCCTTCTTCTGGCATCTTGAATTGTGTTCGCGCGAAACAGTTCCGTATCGCTGCAGGCTGTACCTGCATCCACGAGTGTGCAAGCAGGTGTATAGCACCCAGGAGGTCTATACTGTACGTCTTGTTGCTCTCCATGGCAAGCAACATCCTCCACAAAAGATTTTTGCGCTAAATCTGCTTAACAGAACAGATGATGCCCAGATCGAGGGGTTGGGCGAGCGCTGTCGTGTTGGGCGGCAAAAACAACAGCTTAATAGCCGACAGGTTATCCACATCATCATGCGCTGACGCAATGTGTAGTACTATGAATATGCCCCTTTTCTTGGCAGCAAAACATCGGTCTAGCCGGTGCACGTACTCCTCGAACAGCTGGGCTGTGATCCAGGCTTTTTTGTTGTGCTTGTAAACAATGCCAGATGGCATCTGAGCGCCTTTGAAGCACCATGAATTTCCATACTTGCCAGTGACCATCAGTCGCAGCTTCCGACTACCGGTCATATTTATGCCAAAAGCGACAGATAGGTGATTTTCGGCCTGTTTCCTGCCGGTGCACTTCTTGTTTTAAATGCTAATGTTCTGTTTGGAAGCAGGCAATAGAAAAGTGCTGACTCATGAAAATTAAAAATGTCAGCAGGATTGTAGGCTGTCAAGGCTTCCTGCAAAATGGTGCCCTGCCATTCAACAGCGCCTTTTTTCTGTCTGCTGCAGCACCCTCACCTCAAACAGCCTTCCCCATGATGCCTTTAAACCATGACAACCAGCTGTTGCTGCAAGCAAAATCGGGGCAGTTAGGCTGATCTGCAAAAGTTTGTGCATTTTTGGTTAACAGGGGTCCGCTAACCGGCAAATTCCTGCTCCGTGCCTTTTTCAACCGAAGAAGCAGGGCCTTTTCCACTTCGGAATAAGCAGAGTCTCTATTGCCGAACCTCTTCAAATTGCTGCCTTCTCTGCCTGTCAACAATTCGCGAGCGTATCCGAATTCCATGCACAGTCAACAGCAGCAAGTTCTTTTCGCAAGCTACCGCAAATTTCTTGACCACATTTTCAATGATGCGAATGATTTCAAGTTTTTCTTTTACACTCAAGACTACGGCATAAGAAGAAGTTTTAGTGTGCGAATTCAATCGCACCCTTCCCGCACAACACAACAAGAATAAAAAAAAAAAACACGACACGCCGCACGAAAAGAACATAGGTAACTAAACACCACCACACCCCCGCCACGATCAACACTGCGGAAAAGTGAGAACTGAAGACCGAATAAAAAAACATTCTCAGCCTCACTCAGCGTTCCTGAGCCGTTTAAAATACATACTTGGTTTGGATTGCAAATCGACTGCGAATTCGCACCCCCTACTGGAAGCAGTGACCTAGAGCTCCTGGGTTATCAAAAAGTGATCTCTAAGGTCACGCTTTTGCACAATGCGATCAGCAACAGCCGTACGCGCAGAAAATGCATAAACGTGACCATGTTTTGACGTCACTATCACTGGCTGTTGCAGTCCGATCGTTACAGCTAGAGTATCGAATGTCTGCACACACGAAATTATGCCGATTTTCCGTTTGTGGACGGATAACGAGAACAAAAATAGTACGTATTAACCGTACGTAATACCACAAGCGACTACGGCTTAAGCGCGGTCAGCCAATACATGTGGTTCAACAGAAATTGGGCGGGGGATTCCTCGCGACTACGTATAAACCGCAGTCACACATTAAGGTACGTATTAAAGAGGTTTGACTGCAGAAGAATAAAGATGAGGTGGATCACATTCGGCAAGCATTCTCAAATCATGAATGATAATCTGCCACTAATTCTCAAGAGAAAGGTATATAACAGCTGCACCTTGCCAGTACTTGCCTACAGAGCAGAAACCTGGAGGCTTACAAAAAGGGTTCAGCTTGAGTTGAGGACGACGCAGCGAGCAATTGAAAGGAAAATGATAGGTGTAACTTCAAGAGACAATAAGAGAGCAGAATGTACCCAATAACAAACAGTTGTTGAGGACATCAATGGTCGAAATCAAGAAGAAGAAATGGTCAAGGGCAGCGTTTGCAGCACGAAGGCAAGATAATCGCTGGTCATTAAGGATCACACACTGTATTCCAAGAGAAGGCAAGCCGGTGAGGGAGAGGAAAGTTGGTTGGGCAGATGAGAGTACGAAGCTTGCGGGTATAAAACTGGCAGCCTCAAGCACAAGACTGGGTTGAGTGGTGAAACACGTGAGAGGCCTTTGCCTTGCAGTGATAGTTGTCAGGCTGATCATGACGATGATGAATAATAATATCTTCCATGCATTCCCAAGCACCACAATACTCGTTCTAGGTTACTTGAACCTATACTTTTATTTAAAGCAATATTGCAAGCATTATAAAAAGTCTTCTCAGTATAACTGCAAGCTTCATTGTCAGAAGCGGTGAGCATATATGTAATATATTTGCATTAAGAGGGAATGAAATGGTGCGGAACCACACAACGCAAAGCCTGTTCATGCGATCCTACAAGCTGTGCATAACACAAAGGCTCACCGTTGGTATGCCCATGCCGTGCAACATGTAGAGCACATCCTCGGTGGCAACATTTCCTGTTGCACCACGCGCGTATGGGCACCCGCCAAGGCCGGCCACTGAGCTGTCGACCACGGCCACACCCATAGCCAGAGCGGTCAAGATGTTGGCCAGCGCCTGTCCATAAGTGTCGTGGCAGTGGACGGCCAGAGCAGTTGCGGGCACCTGCCGACAGAGTGAGGCACTTGAGCATTATGCCAGTGCTGTTCATCATAACCTAACACACACTTCCTTTTTTTCTTTTGCAATAATACGGGTCATAAAAATACCCGCAGCATACAATCAAATACAAAGTCACATGAACGGCACTAGCAGCAGCTTTTGATGTCACAGGCACACGAGCAGCGTGATTGCTATCATAAAATGGCAATATGCTCTTCCTTTGGGCTTGCGATCACTCGTGTGAAGGTGCCTTAGTTTCTTTCACCTGCTGTACACAACTGCGTACCATCTTTGTAGCATGCCGAAGATCCTTAAGTTGCATAAAAAAAGGCAAAGCACGTTCAGCTGCACACCGGGTAGAAGGTATTTACAAAGACCAAGAGCAGAAAACATGTGAATGTGAAGACAAACTTGCACAATCTTCAAACAACATCAAGTAGATTAAGCATCTCAAAGAAATGGACTTGTTGAAATCTTATGTAAGCCTTTTCAAGGGTGCAACAGCCGAATAAAATTTGGAGCAAGTTTTTGAGCAGCAAAATTTATCTTTTGGAGCACTAAAATGCAAACGCAAACTTGGAGCAGGTTCTGGAACAAAAAAACATCGATTTATTATCACAAAAGACCAAGTTTGGAGCAGCATAAAAAACAGAAGGCTTACATTCAGAAAAAAAAATATAGTACAAACCATTCAGCACCACATGAATCGTGCAGAGTGAACTTGTGCAATGCTACTTCAATAAAAATAGTATTTTGAACCACCCCCCAGGGCAAACAATGATAAAGCTAACATAAGCATTTACTGCATCTTTCAGATGCTTTGACAGACTTTGCAACTAATTCAAATGTGGATCTGCCAAGCTGGCGACCTTGAAAATCAGGGGATTAGTGAAACTGAGGTGTAGGGGTGGCAAAAAAAAAGAAAACTGGCGAAATTTTTCAAGGTGCCTGCAATGTTATACACTGCTCCAAATGATTGGCCATAACATATTTAGAAGTCAGCAATCATACTAGTACTCATAGTTACGCGGCATATCCATGCACGAGTAATTGAACAGAATGAGGTATGTTGCGTGACTAGTGCTAAGAGCCTCTTTCAAATCATAATGCGTTTTTTCGCAGGACACTGGTGATCGAGCGACAGCACCAGTTATTTATCACCGGGACGATGCATCTAACACAACTTAAAGACAGAAAAAATGTTTTATGTGCCTTTGCTATTACGACCAACGTGGTCGCCAGCAACGCTGCCCTTTGCAGCACGTCGACTCTGTTCATGGGCGAAAAGCACGGTAGAAGCTTTCAGCTCTAGGTGTTATATGCCATAGCCACGTTCGCTGACTAGGAAGTTCATATTTCCCGCAAAGCCTTGGTACTTCGGCAACGCATTTCAACTAGAAGTTGCGTCGTCCGGCGGATAGGTATCCACTGCAGTCAGCAACTCGATGGGCGCGCAACTTTGTTACTTTAGCTGGTCGATCGCGTCTAGCGAGTGCCCTGACCTAATGGGAATATATCTGACATTGTGATTTAGGGTTAGTGCCAGTGCACTTGAAATGATTGATGATACAAAACTGCAGATGACCAACGTGGCCTCTATGTCTTGCTAGAAAGTAGTGCCACTGAGACAATCTTGAAGCTGGTCGGGCTGAGTGGCGCAGTGTGGCACAACTTCAGCAAATTTCGTAGTTTTGGCGCAGCTCGAAGCAGAAATGAAAGTTTGCACCAAATTGGCGCAATCGGTGCGCCTGTTGCACCTCTAAATTTTAGACATAGATGTCCCCCTAGCAGATGTACTCGGATTGATGTCATTTGAGACTAATTAGCATTTATATCGAATGACCTTCTGAACCACATTCCGATATGAGCAAAAAGACACTCTTCATACTAACTTTAGAAAACAAGGGCATAAAAAGGGCCAGAGCGCACCTCCTTAAGCACAGCCTGTAACATCGGCCGCATGGTTCCTGGAGTGCCCACACCAATGGTGTCCCCGAGGGAGATTTCGTAGCAGCCGGCCCTGTACAGCATGCCAGCCACCTTGGCCACCACGTCGGGGGACACAGCACCCTCGTAGGGACAGCCCACCACGCACGACACGTACCTAGGAGCCCCATCGGTAAGCTTTAGTTATACGGAAAACCATGACACGGACATTGGCAGTTGGGCATATACAAGGTGCAAACACAAGGGAGACATACAAAGAACTACATAGCTCCTGACTGTATTCGTCCTTTATTTTATTTAACGTCTTCAAAATTTTGAAGTAAGCTGAAGAATTTTGAGTACGGTAATCTTATGGGCCATACTATTGCAAGGACTTGCTGGTTCATTTCTGATGACAAGGGCAAGCATATATACATACAGAATGTCTTAGGATTACTTATAAGCATTAATTTCAGTTATAGCGCAGTTTAACAAGATGTAGCATACTTGCAATTTCACACAGAAGTATCTGAATAAAAAATCTTTTAAATTAACAAACCACAGATTAAAATCTTCATTCTTTTGCAAGCTAACAACCAACTTTTATTGAATTTTTTTTTTTTTTTCAAAAAATGACCTACTGTTAAGGGTTTATGCAAACCTCACATGTACTACACTCAAACCTCGTTATAATGAAGTTGAAGGGGAGCCACAATTACTTCGCTATACACATTATTTCATTATATCGATTATAGCAGTTTGTGGCAATGTATGCTCAGATGGACGCACATCTATAAGCATGCAAAGAAGGAAACTGCTTCGCGGCACCAAGTACCAATACGCAATAACGTGTGCAATGGAAAATAAACACAGTCGTATCTCATCAATTTGAACAAGCTTAATTTGAACTTCCGGTTAATTCGAACACACACTGAGGTCCCGTCAAAGCTATGTGTATTTCAATGGGCGAAAACGCCCTGTAATTCGAAGGCACAAGCACTTGCGACAGTTAATTTGAACACACTGCGCTCCGAAAATGCTCTCAGCACCATGCCATATCCCGTGGCGGCACCTCTCAACGCTGCGCACGAAAAGAAAAAGGAAAGAAAAGACTGTGGCGGATTGTTTGCTCTCTCTCAAATGCGGATCTGCAACGTGCCTGTACCACGCTTCTCCCTTTTCCGTCTCTGCATGCAGAGACCCTTCTTTCGAGGCCGCGCACGGAGATAGAAAAAAAAAAGTGGCCCGAATCTGCATGTTCCATTGAAAGACAATAGTTTTGCTTCTGGAGAGAGTGAACAAAATGTTTATTTTATGTTCTACGCAAGAAAATGTGTGACTGGTAGTCTACAGGCGCTGCCTTACGGTGCCTCAAGCGTGTAGCGAAGGGGAACGAGCGCATCGAGGCACGTTAGACATGAGCGCCATCTGGCAGTTATCTTCGAAAACGAAGGCGTGCATGCTCGCGGAAAAAGATGCGCGCCAGTATCGGAGATAATAAGGTGTAGAACACAAAGCGACGGGCAGGTGCCACCACCGTGTCGTCGTAGCAAAGCTTTGGAAACACTTAGCTTTTTGGGAATCTCGTAGCACTGTCAGCGCAGCACGATAAATGCTACAGTCCTTAGAGTTACTTGTGTGTGCCTCTTCTAGTATAAAGGCAGACATACAAAACATAGACATGCTGTTATGGCACCTCAGATATGTGCAACAATTGCTTTGTAATTGACAATCGCACAACTATGAAGGCTAAATCTTGAGCAATATTGGTGGGCGCTGCAGATGGGGTTGGCCGTTTCGTGCGGTTTGAGGAATTGTTAAGGGCGGACACACAGACAAATGTACAGACAGGACAGACAGGCTAAAACTTTTTCGTTGAATGTCCCCGAGAAAGACTATCGTCTAAAAAGTGAAGCTGTCGCGAGGTCTCGTCTTTTTTTGATGCAGTGGGTAGCAGCAGAGACGCAGTCGTTGACAAGTGAGAGAGAAATCGCTTTGCACGACGGCACCGCTTCTCGGTCATGTGACCCGCTGAGCACTTCCTCAATCCTCTCGGCTGGTCGTGTGAGGACAGCTCTCTCGGTCGCGCAGGGCGTGGCTGTGAGGTCGGCGCGAGAGTTTTGAAAGAGCCGTGCTGAACGAGCGTCAAACTTTGCAAAAATCGATATACTCAATACACAACGGTAGTTTTTTTTTTTTTATAGACTATTTGATAGACTAGTCATTATATCCATTTACCGGTCACTTTCACTTCGTTGCAATGAGGCTTACAATGCATGGTTCTCAATGGAGCTTTCAAGGGGAATTTCATTTACTTCATTATATCCATTATTCTGTTATATACAATGTGGTTTGAATTTATATAAGCAATACATTTGTAAACTGTTTGGTACTAATTACTGTTAACTCTGACAGTCCTTCAAACTAAAATCTGCATGTTTGCAAAAGTCTGTTATGCGAACAGCGATTAGATGGCAATGTGGCCCACATTCAAATATGCTTCTCAGAACATAATTCAACTCTCTCCACATATTTTCTTTGAAGCTGTGGCAACATGTGCAGCAGCCTCAAGTTAAGTGAACAATGCGGGGCTTCCCCTCCCACCACTGCAAAATAGGAAGAGGACCAAATGCTCACCCTCTGACTTTAATGTCCTTAGCCTTTGCTGCCTCGATGACGTCATAGAACTTCTTGATGCTTTCCTCAATGCTGCAGTTAATGTTCTTCCTGCAAGTGAACGAGAAAACAGAGAAAGGGGTTTCGTAACAGTGAGACTACTGACACAAAATACTATTCACGCAGCTCATACAAACTTCCACAGTGCTCATGACAGTGACTGCTAATGAACGATGCTTTCAGGTTCAGTACAGTGTAACCCCTTTATGAGAGACATGCACTAGGCAGCGATTCCCGCCCCTTATACGAGATGTTTTTTATAAGCAGGGTAGGTTTTCTTATCCACCCATATTTGACTGTAGGCGCCCTGGTGTCTTTCACACCCATTTGTGTCTTACATCAGTATCTCTTATAAAGGGTTTCGACTGCATCTGTCCATCATAATGAGCTCATTTGACAGGTATGGCTCCAGGAGAGCTTGTCTCAAACAGTTCACAAAATGAACCTGCCCATTTTGGCGGAGCACATTTCTTTATTCAGGAAAGCAGCAAGCCACGAGGTCAATGTGCACTTGACCACGTTGACGCACCAAACCAGACAGCATGCTCCCTCTATAAGAACGACAAAAGGTACAGGCACAGCACACTTAACCAGCCTTGAAAAGCCTGCCTTTGAATATTAATGTGTTCCTGACACTTGAGAACGGTGCAGGCAATGCATGCCAAAATACACACATGTGTAAGGCAGGCATGGCTGCATTAAGAGAGATGCGGGTCGAAAAAGGCAAGTTTTCTTCAAAATTGGCTGCATTAAGAGAGATGCGGGTCCAAAAAGGCAAGTTTTCTTCAAAATTGCCAATTTTTCATTTTCGCCTGTTTTGAAAAGATTAGTACCTCTACTGTTCTTAAAAAAAAAAAAAAAATACATGTCGAGACTTAACTGGAAATGCTTTAGAATTGCATCTAAAGAGCACAAGGTGCCTGTCAAAAGGCCTAAAGAGTGCAGTCTTCGAGCACCTTGCCGACGATATTGCACTGCCGCTCGCCATTGCCGACCACATGAGGTGAACAGTTGAACCTCATTCTTCAAATACCGACAGCTTCCCTCGGTAATGTGGCGCAAGAAATAATAAAAAAGAAGCACGCTGTTGCGTCTTTTTCGAGCGCGGCGACTGGCTTATCGCGTGGTACGGATCGGGGACCGCCATCGGCCGCTGCGTGCCTGTATGTGCTGTGAAGCCTACTTGCAGGGTCCATGTCTTGTCGAGCAGCACAGCCTGACCAATGCTTTTCTTGTGTATTTATCTCTGTTATGAATGCAAAAAAAGCCATTGCTCGCGCGTGAAAGTCATTGTGGCGTCGCGCTCTGTAGGAATAGGCTACGAGCAGCTGGTTCAGATTTGCGGCAGTTGTTGGCTTGCAGAAGACAATGAATCAAAAGTCATTCACAGCCATCAGCCGGAAAGTTGGTGATGCGGCAATGGATGACATCAGAGCCAATCTCGCGAAGTTGAAGGAGCTCACACAGCTCACAACTTAGCGGGGATGACATTGCCATTATGTACGACAGTATGTGGCACAAACGTGGCCGCAAAATGGCATCGGCATTGTTGTGTCCCTCGACACTAGACATAGTTTAGATTTTGCAATCCTGTCGAACTTCTTCCTAGATTGCAGTCGGCACAAGGCTCTGCAGATGGAGCAGAAGAAGTTTGGCAAGCGTTTCATGGCCCTGTCTGTGAGCGGTGAGCGAAGTTTCTGTGAGGAGCTGGCTCGAAAAAGCCGACAAGGACAAACTCATGGTGCTGGTGTATTAGTGGCAGTGGTCACTACAAGAAGAATTGTTCTTTTAGGTGTGCAAATTTCATTGCATTTAATGATATTTTTCATAAATAAACACTCAATTATAACTCGTTTTTCTCAAAAAAACAAATTTTCCCATTTTTTTTCAATTTGCCCCTTCTTTTTCAGGCACTTCTACTGCTTGAAGAACCTGCATGAAATTTCGCCCAAATTTTTTCTTAAGTATGACAAATACAGTTATCTAGTTTAAATTTCAATATTTTATTATATAATAAAAAGTTGTATGTAAACCTTTACTACGGTAGGTGAAATATAAACTTTTTATGTCTAATATTTTTCACGCCTATCACATATTTTGTATGTGATAGGCGTGAAATAGGCGTGATAGGCGTATGTGATAGGCGTGAATTTTTCACGCCTATCACATATTTTGTATGTGCTTCGTAATTAGCTACTTGCATTCTACACTTCATTTGAAACATTATGAACTATGAATGGTAAAAAAATTACGGAAGTTTAGGAATGAAAAATGGGGTTAAAAAGGGATGAAAAAAGGGTTAAGGTTTTCACTTTGTCATATTGCAGATCTAGAAGTATGCAACTTGCAAGAAAACTAACTATATATTGAAATCAGCAAAAAAAGTTCCAAAACAGCTCAAGTTTCATTGCTCTGGGGGTGAATATTAAAAACAAAGTGTCTTCGAGTAGCATCTGGCCTTAAATCTCAATCAAGGCTTAATGCAGTCACAATGTCTTAGTTCCTGCGTGGCCAAATGCATATCTCTTGAGGTCATGTTCATAGCATTGAAGCGCTATTCCGCTCTCATCTGTGGCAGGAGTTGTGAAAACTCCACAACGTCAAAAGGATGTTGCAGAAAAAGAAGGGGAAACAGGGGGCGCACTGCTCGCTGTTCCAGCCAATCAGCAGTGGCCAAAATCAACAGTTCACTAAGTGGACACATCAAGAATACCTCTCCTGACTCAAGCTAAGCTAAGCTAAACTACACGCCGATTATATTTTGACAATCATGAAAACAGTGATGTTTAACACTGCAGCAACACGTTGTTCACCTAACACAAAGAAAGCTTGCAAAACCCGAATAATGCAGTAAAAAGCACTATCTTATTTTCATTCTCTACTGAAAATAGAGGATCTGATTCCCATTCTCTACTCAAAATAGGGGTAAAAATGCTGCAAGTGCGTGACTGTATGATGCTCAGCAATACATTTATATACGTATCTAGGCTACCTTACAATACGACCGAGACGTGGCAATGAAAACTATTTCTATTCTTCATTCAGATGAAGGAATGAATTCTTACACACAGATGCGATTTGTTTTTTGTTCTTTAGCTATGTGTTGTGGTTGTTGAGTCACAACATCTGATACACTCTCATTGCTATCCCAAAATATTATTGAATTAGAAGTTCGTCCAGATTTTTACATAAGGATATTCACAAGGCCCCCTTCTGTACCATAAAGCTATTCCTTTATTTTTCTGTACTCAGAGAAGCTTACGAAAGTATTTATTGAACGTCTTGTATATTTTTTCTAAGTAACAAATTCTACAAAAAGCCAGTTATAGAAATCTCTATGACGTGTGGATGACTGACAGCAACTGCTGGAAAATGAAAGCATAGAAAACTCAACTCCAACAAAATGAATCTCATAAGGAAGCTGTTTTTCATTTTTCATTCCAGAAATGCAGCTTTGTGGCTATCTGGAGCTCTTATTAGTCCTTTTTTATGATGGCGCCAATGAGGTGACATTGTGTCAAGGGAAAGCTGCAGATTTGCATTTTATACAGTCCACTTTTTTTAGAATGTTTTTGTTGACAGCACACTAGTAAGAACTTTTTCTCAACTTCTACTGCTCATTTTGGTCTAGTATTTTATTATGGCGTAAAGTATGGTCTCATGAATGCTGAAGAAAATTAAATGATAAATTGAATATTTTGACCACATTTTGTGCCAACGTCCCCCCTTAAATTGAGTAAAGACAGTTATGTTGATAAAAGCTGTGTGGGCTAACAGGTTCACTCACTGTGTGAACGTTTCAGATGCGGCTCCAAACACAGCTATTTCCTTGGCCCCAGCAGCAAGCTGCGGATAAAAAAGAAAAAGCATTAAGCTATAAATACGGTGAATTAAAGCCTTAATGGTGAAAAACCTAATATAACAATATGCATGAAAGGAAACATTAGGACCTGTCTAACAATGTTTTCTTTCTTTTCTATTTTTGAATCAAATATAATTTCTAATGAAGAAATTGAGCCCTTATACTTACACTTTTTTTCTTCATGTCATTTGACATATTGCCCCTTACCTCTGTACAATTTTCTGTGACTCCTTCTATAAGTCAGTTTCACCTCGAAGTTTGTTTAAATAGTAAAAATATGCTTGCTTGAAACATTGCTTTGCTGCTTCAACTCTAATGTTCCACAAATATTATCAAGAAAAATACATCAGCAGCGTCAATCAATATGCCTGCATTATATATTAATACAGTTGAACCCCGCTACAACTGAGGGGGCGCGGAAAAAATTCATAGAAGCGAAAATTTTGTTGTAGTGAAATAAAAAAAATATAGCTGATCTGAGGTAGCAAAACAGAATAACGTTTATTCTCAAAATTCAAAAAATGTCCCCTGCTTCCTATTCTTTCCCAGCAACGTCACGGCGTCATTCTCACCCATGCATAGCTAGACCATGGTGAAAAGCACACTGAAACAACGATCAAAACTGTCTTTGTGAACGAACGAAACAGTTGCATTAACACGTAAACACCAGCAGCTGTCCAACGTCAAAAGTATCCGACAACGCCGAGATGGAGGCAGGGAATTGTGGAGGGCGAATTTTGCATTATTCTATGCCGTTCTTATCGTTTATTACTCGTGGCTATCTGATTTTGTTGATAATGCGGACGAACAGCCGCTATAATTATTTACCACACTGGCCAAGCGTGAACATAATGATAAGCATCGTTCCACGGTAGCACCCAGCGGCTGTGTGAAGAAAACCGTAACTGAGCGACTAAGCTTCAGCTTCGGATTATCTGTGGCTCAAGCGCAAGCCAGTGGCGAAAGCAGGGCAGTTGGGGCAGTCTCATTGCCATCGCTACCGAGCAATGGCCGCGCCCGTGCTTGCTGAACAGCGGCAATATAGCGGCGGTTTCTGGTAGTGCCAACACGTGTTTTAGACTTCGTTGACGTATTTTCGGGCTCTGAAAATGCATCGAAATGTTAAAGATTGGGTTTACTGCATACTGTCGCAGTACAACGCGAACAAAGCACAAGTACGCCTTGAGGCAGCGAAAGCAGCGTGTTCTTAACAGCTGAGCCACAAGATCTTCTTCGTTCTCGCGTCAAGCCAGAGGCCCACTACCTGGTGTCCGCTAAATCCCCCCATCATCGTTTTTGTCCACATGTAGACACGGGTCATTTGCCTCCCTCTCAAAGAGCATCGACCCGATGCGAAGTCAATAATGCAGTTTTTGTTAAAAGATAAGTCTCACGCAATCACTCGCTGACGTAAGGCTTCATACGCACTACGTGAACGAGTTCAGGATGGTACTGGCGACGATTGGTACTACACGAATTGTCGGGAACAACTTCGTAAGTGACGTCACTCAGTTGTCGCAGCACTCGGTATGGCCCAAAGTATCTTCTTAAGAGCTTTTCTGATAGTCCTCGTTTCCGTACGGGTGTCCAAATCCATACTTTGTCGCCAGTTTGATAGACAACTGCTCTGCGGTGAGCATTGTAGCGGCCTGCATCGTACTCTTGCTGCTGGCGGATCCGTAAACGTGCCAGTTGTCTAGCTTCTTCCGCGCGTTCCGTAAACGTGTTGGCGTCTGGGTCGATGTCATCACTTTCGTGCAGCAGCATCGCATCTAACATAGTTCGTACTTCTCGTCCATGAACGAGGCTGAACGGGGTCATGCGGGTCGTTTCTAGCTTGGCCGTGTTGTACGCAAACGTTATGTATGGCAAGACTTCATCCCAATTTTTGTGTTCAATGTCTACGTACATCGAAAGCATGTCTTCAATGGTTTTGTTCAGACGCTCCGTCAGCCCGTTTGTTTGTGGGTGGTAGGCAGTGGTCTTACGATGCGTTGTTCCACTCAGCATCAGGACGTGATCTAAGAGAGCTGCCGTAAATGCGGTTCCTCTGTCTGTGATCACGACAGTTGGTGCACCATGCCTCAGTACAATATTTTCGATGAAAAATCTCGCCACCTCCGCTGCTGTACCTCTCTGAATAGCTTTTGTCTCGGCATAACGGGTCAGATAATCCGTCGCGACGATAACCCAGCGGTTTCCTGCAGTGGAAATAGGAAGTGGGCCCAAAATGTCCATGCCTATCTGGTAGAATGGAGCTGTTGGGACCTGCACGGGTTGCAGTAGGCCAGCTGGTTTAGTCGGTGGTGACTTGCGTCGCTGGCAGTCGAGACAGGTACGAACGTGGTGCTTCACGGCTCTGGTTAGTCTCGGCCAGTAATACCTTTGCTGTACTCTGGCCAAGGTTCTCATGTAACCCAAATGGCCAGAGGTCACCTCGTTGTGGCATGCTTTGAGTACTTCGGTACGAAGGGCTGCTGGTATGACGAGCAGATAGGCGGATCCTGTCGACGAAAAGTTTCTTTTGTAAAGTACTCCGCCCCGTAAACAAAACGATGACAATACTCTTGCGAAAACTCTTGGCGCCTTCTGAGATCTGCCTTCCAACTAGTTAATTAAGCCAAGCAACTCAGTGTCGTCACGTTGTTGCTGCGCAATGGCGGTCGTGTCGAGGACACCGAGAAATGCCGTTTCCTCCTCCTCGGCATGACGATAGTTATAGCGCGAGAACAAAACGACGACACAGAGACAAGAAGGACACGAAAGACACGAGCGCTAACTTCCAACTGAGTTTATTGCGCAGAGCACGAAAATATATAGAGGAGACAGTGACCATGGCACAAGAGCAGAACATGAGTAAGAAAACCAAAAACAAACAACACAAATACAAAGGCACTGAAAAACAGCAAAGAAAAACCTAGAAGAAACCGAACCAGAAAGGTAAAGCGACCTGCCCGCACCGAATCCTTCGAGGAACCTGCGTTCCTTCTCGGACTAAGCCACGGAGGGCTTGCTAATCCAAGGCACCTGTTCGCATTACCTGCCCGCACCGAATCCTTCGAGGAACCTGCGCTCCTTCTCGGACAAAGCCACGGAGGGCTTGCTAACACAAGGCACCTGTTCGCGTGCCATCTGCGCAGCCTCGACAATGACCCGGGTGCTTACATCTCTGTGTTTGTACAACGTCGCTGTTTCCTCGAAGAGGGGAACACACTTGCACTCAGTGCAGTGCTGGGCAAGAAAACCATCTTTCCCGTTTTTAACATTGTTCGTGTGCTCTCTCAGCCGATCGTTCAGACACCTTCCGGTCGTTCCGACATAACAAGCACCACATGAAAGGGGGGTCCTATAGACGACTTCCCGGGAGCAGGCCGCATACCTGTTTCGATGTTGAACTCTGCAATCTGTTGATGATTTCGTTTTCAGGGGGTTGGTAGATTTGGCGAGGCTGATTAATTTGAACGGTGCTGAGAACAGGACACGAACTCCAACACGTTTTCCTTTTTTTTTTGAGCCTATGTGATATCTTGTGTATGTATGGAATCACGGCTATCCTTTCACGTTCTGTATCCGTGTTGATCAGATTCTGTCGCGTCCTCTGCTCCGCCCTAATAGTCCGCAGGATCGTCTCCGCAACAGACGCGATAAACGCCTCGGGGAAACCTGAAGCCTTAAGGCGGGAAACTTGAGCTTTGAAGCTCGCAGAGATATTGTGGGCGCAAGATCTATTTAAAGCATTCTCAAGGCAGGTTCGTGCTATGCCTCGCTTAACTATCTTACTGTGAGCAGAAGGAAAGGGGAGTAGAGGTTTCTGCGCACGTGGTTCATAACACCAACAGATGTGCTGTGGGCTAAAAACCAAATGTTGTACCGACATTCGTCTAGATAGGGTAAAAACGCAGGCCAGGGAAATGTGTCGTAAACTAGAGTTAAAACAGTTAGCACAGCACATTAGCAAAAGTGACAAAAATGGGCTCAGCATGTTTTTTTCTGCCAAAACACATAAGGTTGACATGCCTTTCCGTGTCATTGTGACAGAAAGTGGTACGTGGCAAAAGCAACTCGGCTTGTTTATTCAGACCCATCTAAAGTGTCTAAAGATTGACGACCCATTTGTGATCAAAAACTCGTAGGCTCTGATAGAATTTTTCAAACAATCAAATCAATCTAATCTTTTCGGTTTTTCAATTGACATAAAGGACCTATACTACTCGCTGCCTCACGATGAGGTACTAGAATGTATAAGGGATAACATAGAAATTTTCGGGGAATTGAACTTCCAATTAAAAACTGGCATTAGTTCGCGGAATTTTCTTGACAAAAAAAAAAGCTGGGTTCTGTGCCTCCTACCAAGCACCGATATCGGGAAGAAAAGATTCCAACAGACAGTTTTGCTGTATCTTACACAGTTTTGCTGTATCTTACGTCTACTTTCGTGCAATGGAATTATTGCATTTATCTGCAGAAAAAGGGTGTTTCAATTGGTTCATGCATAGCACCTCTACTCAGTGATCTTCTATTGGCAAAAATGGGCAAAAAACTGCAGGAAAAGTTAAAAGGCTCGCATGTCGTCAAAATTTTTAGATACGTGGATGATTTCTTGGTTATTCTAAATTGTAAGTCTTCTATGTTTCACTCGTTGGCCACTCAAACTATAGGCGTGTTCGAAAATTGTTTGCAGCCTCTTGTGGTGACACATGAAATGCCCGATAATGACAAATTACGCTTTTTGGATTTAATTCTGGTTTTTAGCCCACAGCACATCTGTTGGTGTTATGAACCACGTGCGCAGAAACCTCTACTCTCCTTTTCTTCTGCTCACAGTAAGATAGTTAAGCGAGGCATAGCACGAACCTGCCTTGAGAATGCTTTAAATAGGTCTTGCGCCCACAATATCTCTGCGAGCTTCAAAGCTCAAGTTTCCCGCCTTAAGGCTTCAGGTTTCCCCGAGGCGTTTATCGCGTCTGTTGCGGAGACGATCCTG